AATGATTCAGAAGAATCTGGAATCCAGGATCTGCGAGATCTAAGAGCCGAAGAACTGAATGACAAGATGGCGTGGTTATGCCAAATGCATGTCATCATCATTAGGTCTTCGACTCCTTGCCGGATGCACGTTCCATCAAGACGTTGCAATGAACTTTAATTCTCTGCGATTCTTATCACTCTACATCTAGCAATTTTTTCAGCTCACCATGCCGTCGATCTACTGGTTTTTTTGACGCAGCGGTTACTGTAGTTTGAGACTCAGTCCATTCTTTTTGGTCCAACAATGAGGGTTTCGAGTCCATTGCTCTTGCAGGGACATCTTAGACCTCGGCTTATCCTGATAGAAGCCAGAACCAGCTGCTGTAAGTAACCGTTTCGATTTGTGACGTCCGAACAGTGAGGACCTTTGTCGTTCCGTTGTCTACTAAACGTATTTTTGGTGGTTGAAAAGTAAGGTCGTCGACAAATCCGTTCTCACGTCGTCAACAAGTGAATGCGAAACGCGGAACCTAAACACGAAAGTTGCTTAAAAAGTAAATTCCGGATCGCAGCATGGAAAGATGTATAATTGGAATAACGGGACGGAATAGGAAGACAAACAAGCGGGCGCACAAACAGGGGTTTACGATGCCTTGAATGAGTGACGAAATTGAAATGGCAAAGTAGGCAACATTACGGGTAAAATCGGCCATCGCTGGTCCGCAGGGGCATCGGGCCGAGTTTCAAAGGAAAGTAACTCGTAGAAAGACCTGAGCATCGACGGCCACACGAACTGAAGAAATCCAATGGAGCAAAGTGAATATTCAGGCAAAATGTTGGAGAACAAGAAGCATTCATTTATCAATAAATCAAAAGAGGCTGGTGATGATTAAGAAAAATGCAATAAATGAGAGTAAACTTGATAAGCACTACTCCTTGTTTCACCAATAGGCTTTTTCGACAGAAACTTCCCATTCAAGAGATTTACTCTGTTCATCACCTTTCTCTTTACTGTATTTACTCCCGTGATGAGCTTCAGAAGCAATCGCTACACATCTTGCGTAAATAATCAATCCTAGAAACAGTACAGTCATGTGATTCACATCGCAGATCTAAATTTCATTTATTTACAGGCTTAAACCGTAGCTACGGCCTGAACTGTTGCAGATGCGAATTTCATCGAGGTTCCACATATAAACTGTTCACTCGAGTGCACAACAGCAACTGAATGAATTGCATTGTTTACATTCAGGCAATTTGTATAAAACACAAAAAGGATTGAGCAGCTTGGGAAGTTGCGCAATGCTCCCTCATTGCAACTGTCCCTCACATTACTGGATTTAGACGGCACTTTTACATAGCCTGCCTTGTTCCTGAAAGATTGTTCAAGCAAGATATGATTCATGGTGTTTTAAATAGTGCACCGGGTGATTACTTTCAAATAGTGGGGACGGTGTTGCTACACCGGGTAGATCACAGACGTGTCAAGAAACTGTTATTATTATCCGCGGGGTCGACAGTTATTACTTTTTTAGTGCACCACTCGTATTCGGATGATTTTTATGTAAATCACTTGTTAACTAGGTTATCACACAACACTTACTATGCAAATTCTAATGCTTACTGGTCGAATGATCAGAAAAGTGTTCAGTGGTCAGTGGCGATTTTGTGGGCATCCGGTGCGGTGGTCATAGCGAAGTACTCCGTCTGTCCATTGACCATGCCGTTGAAAATGATTCAGGAAGCGCGTTGTTTGATTCTCGTCGCTTCCGTGTGTCTGCTAATCGCCCGGATCGTTTGCGAGACAATCGAGTACAAAGATTGCGGTGGGACCTCAGCTCTCTATGAAACTGTATAAGATTTTTAAGATGAATTTTGTCGTGCTTCAGGTTCGACGAATGCGAAGATCGTCAGCATGCAGTTGAGTCCGTGTGACAACGTCTCTTGCTGCTCCCTGAAGCGAGGAACCTCGGTGGACGTGAAGATCACCTTCACTCCGGGTAAGAGGCAAAAGTGAATCATGCCTTGGCGACGAAAGAGAAACACTTCGCATTTAGAAATCGAGGTTACAAAGTTGAAAGCCTCGATGGTGGCTATTTATCGAGGGTCCCAGATAGCGTTGCCTTTGCCTAACCGAAACGGTTGCGTGAACTCTGGACTCGTTTGTCCGCTAAAGAAAAATGCCAATGTCACTCTCACTGAGCGATTAAAAGTAGACAAGGCTTACCCGAAGGTGAGCAGTGGGATATCACTTTTAACAGCATAACGAATGACAGTTTTATAGGTAAGAGCAGAAGTCAGAGGAAAACTTACCGACCAGAATCGAAAGCCTTTGGTGTGCGTCGCAATCCAAGTTGTACTCGTTTAAAATTACCGGAATATTTTATTTTATGTGTTGCTTGTCTCGTTGCTCATTTGTTGTTGTTTTAGGAATGTTATGAACCTCATTTCAAATAGGTAAATTTTAAATTTTAGTTTTGACGATTTTAAAAATGTGCTGGCCGAATTAATTTTAATAAAATATTGTTGGCCAAGCAAATGATTTTCATGTCTTTTCTTTCCTTTCTACATCTACTTTATGCTGCAGAAATTCATCATATCTTCAGCAAGCGTTGAAGCACATACAATCAACTCGCTGAAGCGCGTTTGATTGCTAAAAGAAATATTCGCTGCAACACAGGACGTTGTCTGATATCTGACTGAACGTATCCTCGGGTTTTTACCATTGATTGTAGAACAAGTTATTTTAAATCTACTGTAATGCAGATAATCCAAGAAGTAGCATTGGGAATAATTGGCTCTACCTAATTCTACAGTACCCTAAAAAGTTTAGTAAACAATTATTAACTAATATCAAATGCAGAAGTCTTAGTAAATTTCAACCTGGATTAACTAACTCTGGTAACCAAACAACTTTTGGGATGGGTTTATTAACTACGTTACGACTGCGAGAAATGCTACGCAGGAAAAACCTGAATACTGTGAGCAGGAGAACAGAAGGTCCCCTGTCAAACTGGATAAAATATATGACAGCAGGTGAACGCAAGCGATATGCAGCAACAAAGTACTGAGGAAGAAAACAAACCCTCCCGCTAACAAAGTCAAAATATTTCAGGATCGTGCAACACGGAGCAAAAGAAGGTCACTTTCCCGAAAGTCAGATTGTCAGGGCATCGTTAAAGAAGGAAAGTGGCTGAGCAGACGAATCAAACAGGCTTCTTTTACCCGCTCATGCGAATATGCCAACCGGGACAAAGGATACTAAATCTGTACGAATTGGACAAGCCTCTTTGAGGTCGTCAGCGGAAAACTACTTAAACAGCTGCATGGGTCAAAAGCATGCCTTCAGTTCCAGACAGCGGAACAGCTGCGTATCTGAATTTTCGGTACTGACACCAACGCACGAACAAACTACAGTAACCTCAAAATTATTAATGAATGAATAAATGAATGGAAACATTGCCACCTTTGAAATACATCTTGAAAGTATCGGGATGAATTTAGTGAGCAGGCGAATTTGAGATACTTAGAGCCAAGCGATGAGAGTGAATAGTCTGTCA